CTCTTCACATCACCTCCTCCACTCCATTTCACCCTCGCTTCTTCCCTTTCGGGTTCCATTCGAGCAATGGCTTGTCTAGTGATGTCACTTGATGGTTTCCTCAGAGTACGACCAATCCACCTCCATTTCTTCCTGCCTATTTGTTTCACAATCGGTTCCTGGTTGGTTCGCTACCAGAGATCCCTCCCTGTTGCTGATCTTTTCTGACTGGTCATCTGGCCATATGATCTTGAGTATTGAGTGAAGACAACTCTTAATAAAGGTCTGTAATTTGTTTGAGATGCTCGTTATGACGCGCGGTGCAAGTCTCTGATCCGTATAGTAGCACTGACTTCACATTGGAGTTGAAAATCCGGATCTTATTTTTGATTCTGAGTGTTGTTGACCTCCACACAGACTTGAGAGTAGTGAAAGCTTATCTTGCTTTTCCGATTCTTGCTTTGATATCCTCATCAGTTCTGTCTGCCTGTAGTTCAAACGATGCTTCCCAGGTAGGTAAAAGAGGTTATTTCTTTCAGGTTCCTTCCATTTATGCTGATTTTTGTCTGTTGTCGTTGTTCTTGTCCTGGAATCTTGATTACCTCTGCTTTCTCTATGTTCACCTGAATTCCTATCTTTGACGTTTCTTCTGCCAACTTGTTGTTTTTCACTTGCATATCTTCCAGTTTGTGAGAAATCAGACATATATCATCGGTGAAGTACAGATCCTCCAAGTTCTTCGTTAGGGTCCATTTTATGCCTGTCTCCTCATTGCCCGCTATTTGTCACATTGCCTGATCTACTGCAATCAGGAAAATTACTGGCGGTAGTAGGCAGCCTTGTCTTACTCCTATCCTCACTTCGAAGGATTCTGTCTGATAAAACTGAATTATTGGTTCGTCTGATTTCTCCTTTCAGTAACCATATCAGGCGATCTTCTCTTATACGCCTATACAACATCCTTCTCATACATTCTATATACTCAGTTCCTCAGGAGCAAGTGAACTGATTTATGCCCATAGATGTTGCCAACAGTGAAATGTTGTCATCTACATTCTGTTTCCTGGTTTCTTTATTTAACTAACTGTATGACACTCTACTAACTTGCTGATCAGGTGATTGTTTCACTGTCAACACGACTAGTGATAGCTGTCATTTGAATGAATGGCATATATATATATACATATCTATATTAATATATATATATATAACTATTTTCAATCATCACCCATTACATCATTAGTAGTCTACCAAGTTAAGGCTATCACAATTAGTCTCATCATTGATTTAATGTGGTGATTTGATACCTATGTTGATAAGTTCTGAACTTAACTCATTCAGAAGCTTCATATAATCTGCATTCTGTTGATATTGAAGTACTGACTAAAATACGAAGAAAGTGGATGAAAAAGGGACATGTTATATGGATGAATAGAGCTTTTAAGTTAGTTCATAAACCTTACTGTCATTCAAAAATATGTGAAAAACCATATAAAAAATAGGATCAGTAATGAAAATAACAAAAATAGCATAGAATTCAAAGCCTCTGTAGTACTGTCGTATGAATAAGGAACATCAGACACCTTAAATAGGATTCTCAATGAGGCTTGAATCACGCTGCCATTTAAACCAACCAACCAACCAACCCTCTCAGAGATAAACTTTGTCGGCCTAACAATCTAATAGATCCAATCAAGAGAAATAACATCATCTACCAAATACCATGTAATACTGACTATGAGGTCAGTCAAACCATTAATTACATCGGGGTCAATTCGATTATTGGAACATGAAAACTTGACTACACCTAGAATGATGATTGACTCTTCTAAGTTAAATAACCTAGACAGAAACTCGGTTATCACGTAATAGCGTGGGTGGGACACAATGAGAGTAGTAAAACGTAATATAGTTAGTTAGGTGGGTAGAGAGATAGGTCAATCACTGAAGCTTTGTTTATAGATTCCACACCGCACACGTACAATCGGAATGACGCAACGCCCATAACGGAGAAGTGGCAACAGACAACAGATGGGGGAGATAGAAAGAGAGAAGGAATGGTAAGGTCTCTGACTTCAGCACTGGGTGACGCGGGTTCGAATCTCAGAAGGGTCATGAATTCCTTCAAGGTTGCAGATACACCTTGCTGACTGGTGAGTGGTGGCTAGTACGAAACCTAGGTCAGGTGAGGCTTCCTGCCGATTGCCTCCAACCATCTAATATCATCAGAAAGAATGTGTATTTAAGACAAATTGTGAAACCATGTGACTAAATCGATATGGTTATGAGCAGTAATAATTTGAGCTCGAAACGTCATCCAGTTGTTAATACTGCATCGCTGCATGATGTTTAAAATAAACTTATCTGATATGGAAATACATTCTAGCACAGTGCCCAAGTTCTACACTTACATTAATGATAAATAGTCATCCTACCAAAGGCAACAGGAATTGAGAGGAGGTTGTAGTAAGCAACAAGTTCGTACAATTTATGTTATAAAGTCAAATTCATACTTGAAAGTTATTTTACTGCTTATCACTGATGACTGATTGCAAAGTGGACTTCCAGAAGTTCCAGTGAGATGCCTTGACCAGACGGGTTCAACAAATTGCATGTCATGACAGATACTCGCCAGCAGTGGTGACAAATATATATATATATATATCACGAAATGTTAGAAGTTAAAATTCATGAGTCACGCAAATTAACTACCCAGCTCAGAGGACACAACCACATCAAAATCATCCACCTGAGCTAAACATTTTCTCCGTCATATCATGAGTCACTGGATCCTACTCCTCTGGTTTAATAGTCAACCCTTTCATCTCGTAACCTAGACGTCCTGGATGAATACTGAACGGGGTCGAAGAAGCTATAAAGTATTCATTGGTTTCCAATGGTTCTTTTATGAGATGTCTATTCATTATGTAACTTTAAATTGAATAGATGTATTAGAATGGTTAAAGAGGGTTTTGACAGTGAATTAAGAGAGGAGATAACGAGAAAATAGAGACACTACAGTAGATTCTTTATATTCCTTTATGTTCCCTGTGGAAAACAGGTCTTCAAGCGACAAGCTTGTAGTTTCTGTAGCAGTGGTGATTATTTTTATATGATGGGGTTACTAGCCTCATGCTCAACCTTACTAGTCTTACTACTGGCTTAGCGAGGTGAAGCAGTTAGTCGGCCGGGGACCGAACTCCGGACCACCTGCGTGGTCGGCTTTGTCCCACTGGCTTAATGGTCTACGAGCTCGCTAACCTTGTAAACAGAAGGTCCTGGGTTCGAACCCTGTCGGTGGGTGTGGACAGTAGACTACACACTTGGGATTTTAAATATACTTAACACATAAGGTGATTATGAAGACCGATGATTGGACGTTACACTGTCTTGAATGCTAAAATCAGCTTTTTTTCTGACGATAACTGAAAAACGGAAGGCGATAACACTAAAAATAATATTTCTGTTAACAACTTTAAATTAATATGATGCGTTCACTTTACACTCCCTCTAAGGAACTCGTCTATTAATCACATACATGCATTGTGCTTTTGGGGGCTTAGAGCGCTGAATTGTTATCACTCGTTCCTATTGACTTCCTATGCATATCTTAATTTTTAGATACTATGGAGGGTAACAGGTCATGAGAATTTCATCCTTTGGCAACAGTGAAGTAAATAGACATCGCATGGCCAAATGACCTTGAGCCAACCAATCGGATAGCTGCTCAGTATTACAAATAAATGCTTTTCAAAATCTTCGTAGCAAGTTTCACCCTAACCTTAATCATAACTCTACCTTAATTCTACCCTAACCTTAACCCTGAAACAGCATGAAACTTGCGAAGAAGATAATGAAAAACTTTCATTTTTAATTCCGAGCACCGGTCTGATTGGTTGGCTCAAGGTCATTTGACCATATGGTGTCTATTCTTTACTGTAGCCCATTGTCTTTTTTTCTTTTTAAGTTTCTCGTTTCATCACCGATAATATTCTTAACTGTGGTGGACTGAATTATTCGCCAGACTGTTGGGGGCGAGGAGCCAGGAATACTCTGGACTGACGATAAGAAGATGCTGGAATATCTGGATTTCCAACGCGTGGATGATATGTGTCTGATGTCATACAAACTCGAAGAGGCAGCGAAAACAGGACTCCAAGTGAACACAGAGAAGACGGAGTTGATGAAGATAACCAACGAACCCTAACAACAACAACAACAACCAGCATCAATCACCATCAACGGGAGAGATTTAACAGAGGTTACTTCCTTCACTTATCTGGGAAGCATCGTCTGAACTACAGGCGGAACGGATGAAGATCTCAAAGCTAGCCTGAATCGGAAAGTCAAGGTATTCCTTCATCAACCTGAAACCAGTTTGGAAATCTTCTGCACAGTGCTCAGCATAAGGAACGAGATTCGCATATTCAACCGAAATATGAAGTCGGTTCTTCTATATGGGTCAGAAACTTGGCCAGCGTGTCACGAAAAGGATTTCCAACAGGCTGACTCAAACTTTTATCAACAGCTGCTTTCGATGGCGCCATACTGAAGATCAAATGGCCGGCCACCAAGCCAGAAAGAATTAACAACCGAAAACTCTGCCTGGGAACAAACCAACAGGCAAGGGACGATCGTTCAACAAATATGTAGAAGAAGGTGGAGATGGATCGAGCATGCATTGAGGAGGCCGCCCAATGACATCGAGCCAAATGCAGGCCAGTGCTCGAGTGGAATACAAATGTGAAGCGACGAGTGGGTCGTCAGTGCTAGATTGACATAGAGGAGATCGTGTGAAAAAGAGAGGTGAGAGAGTTTGGTAAATCGTGGACCCAGCTGAAGAGGATGGCAGAAAACAGAACAAAGTGGAGACGTGTTATTGAAGCCCTATATTCCACTCGGAAGGCAAGGGAATTATAATAACAGTAATAATAAATTTCATTAAATACATAATTCAACATGATTTCTCCCGTATGCTTTATAAAAGTTATTTATTTGTTTTTACTTTTATCTCTTATTAGAAGTAAACGACGTATTCGCCCACTGAGTTCATTTTTCCAGCCAAGTTTAACTAAAGTTAGTGAAGAAGGCTCATCTATATCGTCGTCTACAGATAGTGGATCAGATTCACTTCCCTCGGATACACAACAAGACACTATCAAAGACAATAATAGTAATGATTTCAAAGAATTACAAGATTTATTCCCTTCCTCGTCAATATCAATCTACGATTATAAGCAGCGGCATGATTCCCCTTCAGACTGTCAGTCAAATCCATCTAACAAGTCTTTTGAGATATCACCTCCTCAAAACTTGCTATCTTCTATAGAAACATCAAAAATCAATGACATTCAGCATTGTGGTGACACTGCTGATCCAATTACTCAACACTATGATGGAGAATTAAACAAACCCTTGGAAGTGACAACTCATAATTTAAATCAAAACAATTCCTATGATAATAATGATGAAAATAATCGTGATGTAATGGTTGATACTATCGCAGGTGATCACGTCATAAGCAATAACTGTGATAATGATGCGACTGAAGGTGACAAAAGTAGTCGTGAGGTAAGTCATTGTAGCTTAAAAATCCCCATTGAATCATATGAAAAAGAGAAGACGTTCAGCGAAGAGACTCTTTTCGACGAATTCATTCACAGAGCTGTACAATCGCATTTATATATATAAATATTTTTGTGTGAGTGTGTACATGGGTTTGTCAAGTTTAGATAATTAATCAGGTAATACTAGAATTATCTAATATCAAAACAAGGTTAATTAGACAGCAACTAAAGTAAGATTGAGTTAGTAAGTTAGATAACGTAATATAATCGACTAAAATGTTTCAACTTAGGTCAGGGTAGCAAAAGAGGTAATTACAGGTAGAGACTAAGTAGAGGTTGGGTAGAGAATAATGCCATTTAAATTGGAACTAAAATTGAGCAAATAAATTGTATGACTTAACATAAATGACTAGAAATTGAGCGTTAGTCGAATCAGTAACAGTGGTAATGGAGTGCAGAAAATAAATCGGGTGCGAGTAAGGAACAAGAAAGCTGAAAATGTAAAATATTACAATTGTAAAGACAAAATAATACTAATCAAGAGACAAAAGAGAAAAAAGTAGAATTTACCTGTCGGGTATTAGGATAGATTACCTCCATTGCAGGTGTAGTGATTGAACGAACTTCTGTATGCAGAGTTCAGGACTTAGCAAGTGAATTGCCATTGCTTCTGCAGTTTGAAGAAATTTGACTCGTACACTTTTAGGAAGACTGCTTCGTATTCTGTAGACGGCTTTGAAGTTTGTTTGAGGGGTAGCTTGGTATCCGGAATCTACCAGATGTTCTAAGATAGAGCTGCTGATGCATCGTTTTTCTCCTTTGTAAAACCATGCTGGTAAGTCATTGTGTATTTGTCGACTGTCTTATCATAAACAAACGACTCACGCTAGTCTCTAGTTAAGCGGTTTGTATATCTATTTATACCATATGCTTATCTCTGTCAGACGTTACTCTTATTTATCATCACACACACCCACCAATAGACAGAATCCAATTCACTTCTGAGTTACAAAATGAACAGAGTGAATTGGACATGCTAGACTGTACAATAAAACGGAAGCAATAAGGTGCGTTAGATTAGATACTAGCATTCATAGGAAACCAAGAAGCAACCTCCTTTGCCTACCTGGAAAGCATCGTTTCAACTACAGGCGAAAAGAACTGATGAGGATATCAAAGCGATGATCGGGGAAGCAAGGCGAGCTTCCATTATTATCAAGTCTGTGTGGAGATCAACAGCATTCAGCAGGAAAATGAAAATAAGGTCCGGATTTTCAACTCCAATGTGAAGTCGGTGCTACTATACGGATCAGAGACTTGACGCATCATGAAGAGTACCTCAGACAAACTACAGACCTTCATCAACAGCTGTCTTCGCTCAATACTACTCAAGATCAGATGGCTGGCCAGAAATGATAAGCAAGAGGGATCTCTGTCAAAGAACGAACCCAGTAGGAACCAACTGTGCAACAAATAAGCAGGAAGAAATGGAGGTGGATTGATGGCCATACTCTGAAAAGACAAACCATCATCAAGTGACATCACACCCCAGACCAATGCTCCAGTGGAACTCGAATGGGAAGCGGCGAATTGATCTTCAGTGTGAGGGTGACATGGAGTGGAGGAGGTGATGTGAAGAGGAGATGAGCACGTGAGCAGATGTGGAACCAGGTGAAAACGTTGGCAGAGAACCAAACGCAATGGAGACGTGCGTCTGAATCCCTATGTTCCTTTAGGAACTAAAGGAAACAATAATAATAAATTTTTGGGGAACCGACATACTCTAATAAATACTTAGGTCTTAATTCTCTGCACCCGGAATCAGTGAAGACGAGTTTAGTTAAATGTCTACAGAATCGGGCCAGGTGCCTAACTAACTGGTTAGCCAGAAAATTTGAATAACGAAATCAAATAAATAAAGGAAGTATAACTAGTGAATAACTAACTACCCACCAGAATTTATTCAGAAATGTATGAGAAACCATAGAAACAGTAGGATTAGTAATGCAAATGACAAAAATAACGAAAATTATACAGAATTCAAAGCCTCTGTATTACTGCCGTATAAAGAAAGAAGGTCAGAAGTCTTACTTAGGATTCCCGATAAGGCTCGAATCCGGATGGCATTCAAACCAACCAACTCACTCACAAATAAACTTTGTCGGCTTAAGCACCGAATAGGTCCAATTAAGAAAAATAATATAATCTACCAAATACCATGTACCGGTGACTGTGAGGTAAATTACAGATGTCAGTCAAACTATTAGATCTGGGTACATGTGGGCAAGCTGTAAACGAAACGATTTATTATACACCACATAACTGATTTTTTTAACTTTCTACACACGTGATTTGAAAAACCATTTGAATGCATGGCTGAAAGACAATATAATACACTGGCTTGTAAACTTAGTGGTAATAAATCAGATGACAGGTATTCTAAGGACATTAGGTGTGAAAATAAGATATTTACAATTAGAAAGTATAAACAACAGCTGATGCGTTTAATTATTATTAATCAAGTGTGTGGAATCAGTTTGCTATTAAATTACACCTGGTTAACTGACCGACTGACTGACTGACTGGTTTCAACGTGGAACGTTGCAGCAGTTTGAGTCGCCACACTTCACTTTAAACACAAAGCAAGAGAAAAAAGTAAAAAAGAAATGCAAATAGAAATATAAGGGAAAAGCGTGTAAGGTAACTTGAAGGTCTCATCAGCGTTTGTCCAGTACCTCTTTATTTTCTTCGCCATGTATGTTGGTCAGTATGTTGTTGGCTGATTCGCTAGCCACTCTTTGTTGCCTGTCTTTCGTGTCTATCTGATCTTCAGCATAGAGCAAAGACAGCTGTTAGGACCGCCTTTGTTGCCGTCAGTGTCAAGTCTCTTGAATAATAATAATAATAATTTGCTTTATTCCAAAAACAGTATTAATGATACAGCAAGGAATTTTCAGCATTCAGTAAAATATTGCATCTAATTTACTCAAAAACGACAACAACAAAAAATAAATAAACGAAATAATCATTACATATAATGATAACAAAACGTTTTTATAGCAGCTATAGCAATTACAGTATACGATAAGGAGAAAAATGCGCATAAAGTATAAAATTATAGTAATAATAGTAATAACAACTAAAATAAAAATAGCAAAGTTATAATTAAACGATAGAAAGGGTGACACCATAAAATTGCAGAAAGATGAACAATGAAAGGTTCGATTCACTATGCTAATTACATAGTAACTTATATGTTTCACGTCTAACAGAGTCTTCATCACATAAAATACGGGCTAAATAGGGTATTGTAGAATTTTTGTACTTAGTGGTACGAGCATATAATTTCTTATATTGACTTCTCGTTCTAACTGATGAGATACAAGGGAATAGTTGTGAATAAAGAGGGTGCAGATGAAGTGCTGATGTAACATTAATGTTGAAAATTTGCATGGTTATTGTAATAGTAATCATTTTATCCCAAACAATGGTAATCATACACAATCGAATTTTTCGGCATTACGTAATCAAATGAAAGACAGGATGGAAACATCCAGTTAGCAGGCAGGGCAAGGAAAGACTGATGATAACCGCTTCTTTCTGAACGCATGAATCGGGTTTCAGGTGCTTGAAGGAGATTGCTCCGCAGACTTCAAGAGAATTGAACTCGTTTACCTTTTGGTAATGTTGAAGAATCTTATGACGTTCACCTCAGAGACCATGTCAAGGAGATGCCTGACAATAGCACTGTTGGAAGCATTTGTTCCCTTGAAATGTAGGCTTTTCGGTACGTGTTCAGAAAATCGGAGTTATAAGTGTCCTACTTTCTGTTCTCTCAATGTAACTGCCTCCCGCAGATACATCCAAATTTATATACACCGTTGCAGTTAATATGAGGAGAGTATCTGTCGACCTTTGAGTGCACCAAAGAGCATATTGTTCGACAAACGGAAACCAACTTAGATGCAGGATAGGCTCTAGCTAGTGACATATTCAATCTTCTATTGATTATGCCTGCAATAGTATCACCTTTAAAATCAATTTGAATGAAGACAGGCTCTTTTTCCCCCTGTGATTTGTTTAACATATGATTCTTCACGTCTTCCATGCTTGTTAATGAACTTTTGAGGGTAACTGTGGTTTTTCAACATCTTTCCGAGGAGAATCGAAAATTCGTCTTCTAATTTTTCTCTGTAGACCATATTCTCCTGACTATATGCTTGAAACTAGAAGTAGTTTGAGGTTTACAAAAGTAAACATTCCACGAGTGTAATCTGAGTATTTGAAAACTGATGATTACAACCTGAATAATTTGTGTTTTTACTAACTTGACTGAGGTTGGATGTATTAACTGATCACCTTATGCGATTAAACTTTTAAGGTCAGTTGATTGAATAGCCTTACCTTATTATTAACTCACTGCACTGTTAAACACGTCGCACATTGTGATGGATGATATGAGTATTTTAGTTAATCAAAACTGTGAAACCGTGTGATATCTCACCTCGACCTGTATGTACGCTTTTCTATAAATTCGTTTTATTCGAATTATGATTTATTCAGTATCATTAATGTAAGTGTAGAACCTAAGCACTGTAGTAGAATGTTTAATATTCTATATGAGATTAGTTTATTTTCACATATTACAATCAGTGATGATGCAGTATTAACAACTGGATGACAAGGTCTCAAGCATAAATTATTCCTGCTTATAATCATATCAGTTTAGTCACACAGTCTCGCAGTTTATCTTATATATACTACGTCTCTCTTTCTCTCTCCCTCTTCCCCGCTATGTTGTTTGTCGTCACTCTCCATTTGAATAAAGCAAGAACAAAAGTGGTTTGTCCATTTGTCCAGTGTGGGCGTTGCGTCATTTTGATTGCACGTGTGCAGTGTGTAATCGATGAACAAAGCCACAGTGGTTAACCTCTCTCTTCTACTCACCTAACTATATTACGACTTAATACTCTCACCCTGTCCCACCCACGCTATCGTGTGATAACCGATTTTTTTTCTAGTTTATTTAACTTAGCAGGGTCAATTATCATTCTAAGTCTAGTCAGGTTTTCATGTTCCAGTAATCGAATTGACCCCGATGTAATTAATAGTTTGACTGACCTCACAGTCAGGATTACATGGTATGTGGTAGATTATAATATTTCTCTTAATTAGATCTATTAGATCGTTAGGCTGACAAAGTTTATCTCTGCAAGAGGTGGTTGGTTTAAATGGCGGCGTGATTCCAGCCTCATTGAGAATCCTACAGATCTTACAAACAAAGAAAGAAAATATTACTAGTGAATAACTAACTACACACCAGAATTTGTTAAAAAATGTATCAGAAACCATAGAAAAAAAATAGGATTAGTAATGAAAATAACTAAAGTAGTATAGAATTCAAAGCCTTTGTAGTACTGTTGTATAAAGAAGGAACATCAGAGGCTCTGTGCTACGCAGTACAAGCATCCTTCGATGAAAATGCACTTATCATGTCTACGTAAGAGATGAGGTAAGATGAAAAAAGCATCTTAGGAGGTTCTTTCGTATCCTTGGTGAGATTTCATCAGTCATCAGTCCATTACGGCTGATACATTTTCCCGAAAAGAATGAAATGCTAAACACATTCAACCATTCCACTTCCTACTTCTACTAGTACAGAGGATTTATTCTTATTACTGTTCTTTTAGGTTCGGTCTGGAACATAAGGCTTCTACAGTACATCTTCGTTTTCTTCTCTTCTCTCCAGTCCTTTTTAGCTGGCTACACAACTGGCAATATGCCCTCATCTGCTCCTCACAGAATCTCCTCCACGTTACTTTTAGATGCCCAACTTACCTTTCCCAGACGCATTCCATTTGACGGTCTAGCTAGTGATTTCACTCAAGAGTCTTCTCAGCATGTTTTCGATACACCTCCGTTTGTTGAGCAGTAGGTCTTTGATTGGTTCATTCTAAGAGTTCCTTGTAGCAGAGCCTTTCTGGGCATCTTATGTCTAATGTCACAGAGCGAATGCACCTGTTGATAAAAGTTTGAAGCCTGTTGATAATGCTTTTCTGTGGTTCGTATCCACCTCGTCAAACCAAAACTCGCCTAACTTACTATTCTGTTCTAGGCCCGCGAAAATAGGGAAGTCTGGGTGTGGAGGTAGCTCACTAACCTTACCTCCTTAAAAAAATCAACCTACTCGATACAGGGACTTCACTGAGTAAGAGAAGATTTACGCAACACCAAATATTAAAAATCACAGTAGTAAACTGTATGCCAATACACACTCAGATTTCACGCTGACATACTAGAAATGTCTCTCTTGAATGATCACTATTTTTCATTTTATCCCTCATATACCATTAAGTCAAATTATTTTAATCATTCTGCCTGAATAGATAGCTGGAAGCAATCGGTAGAAAGCTCCGCCTGACTTAGGTTTCGTACTTTTTGACGGTCATCAGCAAATTAAACTGACAGAATTCATTCTGCACTAAACAAAGGACTAGACGCATAACTCTAGTTACTTGCTGTCTACCGTTCAACCAAAGTATCGATCAACGGAGCACACAGCAACTTAGTGCAAAGACAGAGGAAGAAAAAGACACGGGAACAGATACACAAATAAAGCCAAAAAGGATAAATCTACAGACAAAGTAAATGAGACAATTACCTGGCTCTGGGTTCAGGGTGATCAAGAATGCCCTGACTCCGGGTGGAGACACACCATTGCACCTTGGTGGGTTGAAACTCGCGATTGACCCTAATCGGGTGCGCCGAGGCGTGTAGTGTTTGTCAATAGGGAGGCCTCACAATCCTCCCTTTATAAAATTGTGCGTTGGTGGCACAGCGGTTAGGATTCTCATCGACCATGCAAATGGTCCGGGGTTCGATCCCTGACCGACACACACCTGATATCAGTTGGTCGGCTCGCAAATTTGAACTACCGATATCGTATGCTGAAAATTCCATACTTGTACCAAAGTGGTGTGTGTGGAATCAAGCTATAATCAAAAAATGTATGTATATATAATCGGCCTCGTTGACGAATGCCAACAAGCTCGAAACCCAGATCAGGTGGGGCTCCCCGCAGATCGCCTCGAACCAGTGTGATGGCGAGTCATCTAGCCTGGTGGTTACATTACACACATGACTGATACAAGAATTTCATCGGTAGTAAACAAAAGACTAAATTTAATTGAATTTTAGATTTTCCCGTTGATTGATTGGACCGAAGTGCTCGGTCTCAGGTTGACATGTCGGCTTCTTGTGTAGATGCTTCGACGATGTCTGGGCACTCAATTGGTATTTAATTGGTGGATGGTGACTAGCAGTGGAATCCAGGGTGCGCATTTCGTCCTATTTGATGGGGACATCATCATCACTCACTGAGAAATGCAGGTACATCCAGATGACGAGTCCCAAATAGGACGAAATGCACGTTGCACCAATTAAAAGACTAGATTGTATGACAACTAAGTTACTTATTTACCTTTGTATCTAATCGAATTATCGCTAATACGTCTTATTCATTTAATCAAGAATATCTTTTGTTTTGTTTTGTTTTTTGTCTTCATTTGCCAGCTGTTTCCCAGCATATAGAATAACAACAGCATCCAAATATACATATATATCCAATCTATGCTGATGAAAATAAAACTGGGGGGAGTGGTGGTGTTAAAAAGAAGGCAAATAGAAATGAAATAATAATAATATGCATACATATATATATCTCTATATTCATACTATGAAGATTATTCACTGGTGGTCAACACAAAAACAATACATATAGGAATGAATAATTTATTCCAATAGAAGACAGAAGAAAATATCTATACACACACACCAATGCTTATATGCTTTGTTGTTTTTGATTTCCCTCTGCGAATTGGTTTGAACAATCGATCGATACGCCAACTGCAACCGCAGCAACAACACCAGCGACAACACAACAGACAGTAAACATAACAAGCAATCATCTGATATCATGAGATGAGTATGTTGTAAAAATGAAAGAAGTCAACAAAATAACAAGAACACAAGAAGAGGGCGAAGGAGAAACAAAAAGAAGAAGGCAGAGTTTTTCACATCAAATGGATTTGAAGTATCCGATGAGATAGATAAATAAAATAAGCGCAAAAAATCTGATGTGAAGTGAAATTTCTTCATATTGCATTTCATAAAAGCAAAGGGATAAAGAGGAACAATTGGGCAAAGTTGTATAATATTTCCAAATGTCTTAATTGCTTCGATAGACTTCTAACCTTGAGGAGTAGTTTGTTAACAATGCTTTCACTATTATTATTATTTATATTAAATTAAACTACGTTTCTATGCGACTCTTCTTTTTCTCTTTGTGTACTTGTGTTTTTTGAACTGGCGACGCGTTCATTGTCTTACTAGACAGCATTGTCAGACCACACTTCATTTTGAAGTGTAAACTTTTAAAAGTTCTCCACGAGTTTATTGATCATCTGCCTCTCTCTATCCCTGACCTGAGTACCGGAGTACCGGACAGCTAGCCGTTTCGTCCCAGTTTGGGGCTCATCATCAGTGTGAAGCTCGTGAATCATTAAGCCAATGAAACCAGGCTAAATGACCAGCTCATGAATTCTAACTTGTATCAGTTCGTAATTTTAGCATGATAACTAGACAATGATTTCCAAAAGTAGAATGAAACATCCGGCTGTCCAGTACTCCCGAGAGGTTTTCAATGATTCTCTAACTGATGTCAGTCTGTGGTCAAACTGGAAACAAAATCAAATCTCTGCAGTCTAACTCTTGAAAATCTTGTCCGTGTCATTATGTCTGTTGATCGTCTGCCTATTCAATTGAATTCCAGGCTTTTAAGAATTTTCTGGCGGTTTTAGTGTTTTTCTCTGTCCAGGATTTGATGACTGTCTAAATCGAATTGGTGTCCATAGTTGTCTGAATACATTGATGTGAGGGAATGTCTTCTAACAGCTAGTCTGTGTCCATGGATACAAAGATGAAGAGGGCGTCTTCCTTGACCAATGTCATGCATTTCACACTCGTCGGAATCTATCTTGTAAATGATTTTGGTTTTCTCTTCTTTCTCTGTTAAGTCTTTTAGTTGACACAGAACCAGTCGAGTGAAGTGATTTTATTGGTTTGTGGGTGACATAAATTTCAAAACGTTCTGCGTAGTCTTTCTGTGATTTTAGAGATATTCTTCGTGTATGGTAGGACAATTTTATTTGTGCTTTCATTGGAAACTTTGGATTAGGTTGGATATCCATTTTTTTCTTTTATTTTCCTCTAGTTAGGATTTCTCCAATGAGTCCTGACTGTCTTGAATAATGTTTGTGTATCGCCCTTATTGTGTGGCGTCGGATTGTTGCTGTTGTAATGTAGTATTTGATCTGTGTGAGTTGATTTTCTGTATACATGAATTTCTAAATTCTCGTGTAGAATTTTGCTTAAACTAAAACATCTCTTGTGCATTTGATATCAACGAAGATATTGTTTACTATTAAGTTGTGATTGTTATCCATGTCGTTTCTTCTGATGATTATCACTAATCTGTCATCCACCTAGAGTATCCAGGCAAGTTAAACTTTAAGCACCACTAACTACCAACGGAGGGCGACCGCACCAGTGACCTTGAAGTGCTCACTGAGCAAGTTAATGAAACCTGGCAAATAATGTTGTCATCATCAATAAAATATGCTCATCGAAGTGCTGTGCTATTAAATAGGATATCTGGCAAGTTTCAGCTTAAGGTTTGGGGAAGATTAAGTTACGCTTTAATCCAAGGACAGACAAGTTGGGTTAGGTTAACTTAATAAAGGTGAGATTAGGGTTGGTTCGAGTTAGATTGCAGTTACTTTAGACATATTTTCACGTTACGGCTAGGTTTAGGAAAGATGAGAGTTATTGTTAGGGTTAGAAGACCTAAATAATTACATGCATAGAATGTGGTTAAATTTCTCTGTTGATATAAGAATAGAACTTGTGCACTGTAATAGAGTATAATTCCATAGTGGGTAAAATTTATTCTGATAAAGTCTCACAGTGTTATACAGTAATATTTACTGATGACCACATTTCAAGCACAGTTTACCGCCCACTAAATATTACTGTATAACACAGTGAGACATTATCAAAATAAATTTTACACGCAATGAAATTATACCCTGTTGATGCTCCAGACTAAAACTGAGAGCTAGTTTTATCATATGTGAGAGCAAAGTATCCCCAGTAACACTTTTACGTAGTTCTTATGCAATTATTTCACATATATATGTATCCCATACACAATAATGCCTCCTTCACGTGATTGGTGCGTTCGAGGTCATTCGCAGATTGGTAGTTAGTGGTGCGTAAAGTTTAACTTAACCGCGTATCCAAATGCATTCCACCCAACTTCCGCGCTGTCTTTTTAAGTTTTGTAGGAGGTATCCCACGTTACTCAATAATCGCTACATGGTTTCTTTTGTTAGTTTCTGTCCAGTCAAAGTTTATGATGCTCTGATATCCAAGAGTACAGTTATCTCTTAGTCATCAATTTGATGAAAGCCTTGGATATTTTCCGATTATTGGGTTGGGAATTTGATGGAGTGATTACAGGATGTAGCAACCGAAACGCAGAGAACCGACTTTTGCTTCCTAATACATTGTTGTCTGAATCTTCTTTGAGGAACGCGCATTCACAAGACATTCCAAACACATCAAAAAGACGATCATCGGCCGTAGAATCTGTCAACCTATTCAGCAGTAATAACACCGAAAATGAGAAATGAGCTCAATAGTGCCGCATACAACGTAAATTTCTAAGTACGAAACAAGTTCTCTAGAACAAAATTAGTTATACGAAATTCAACTGTAAGAATTCTCCAGAATCAAATAGAATATTTAGAACAATTATTCCCTTTTATAAATTTGGATAGCGTTATAAGAAGACGGAGATTATCTGAAAATGTGATGTGATGTATTTGCGCTATACATTTCGAAAAATCTGATCACACATTTACTTGTCAAGTCGATATATTTATATGAAAATGTTAAATTAGACAAGGTGACAAAAAAAAGGATTGAAGAATGATTAACACAACGTTTGGTAATCCAATCAAATAAGGATTTCAATGTAGAAAATATCCCCATTTAGGCATTTGAAAAAACAGAAAGATTGATTTTTCAAATGTCTAAATGGGGATATTTTCTATATTGAAATCTTCCGAGCAAAAGTTTGCGTTAAAGGCACTCAATGAGTATCTGAAGTACAGCGCAAGGCTCAGTGAAGCGAGAATTTCTTTGGACTTCATTCTCAAATAAGGATTACCAAGGTAGGTGGGTTAGGAGTAATAATAAATTGTTTTTGAATCCACAGGGAGAGGGGCTTAAGTTTATGAATAGCTATAGCCTCAGCGTATTTCAATAAGCACCCTTGACCGTTTTTATAGATGAACTTAAAGGCTGAGTTAACACCAGTCTTACGGTTCATCTCGATTAGGTGTTTAGGTCTAGACGAAATTGGTAGTTTGACACCTGCATCTATTGGTTTTTCACAGTTCATTTGTTTTTCTAGCCATTTCGGCATATGCTCTCCCACCCTTCCTATGTATGTGTGACCACAAACACACACGAAAATTGGTAAATAAACCATAAGATTGATGTTAACTTAGCCTTTAAGGTCATCTATAAAAACGGTCAAGGGCGCTTATTGAAATACGCTGAGGCTATAACTATTCATAAACTTAAGTATCCCCACCCCGGTGTGTTCATAAACAGTTTATTATTACTCCTAACCTACCTTGGTAATCCTTATTTGATTGGATTACCAAACGTTGTGTTAATCATTCTTAAATCCTTTTTTTGTCACTTTGTTTCATTTAACATTTTCATATATATTGACTTGATAAGTAAATGTGTGATCAGATTTTTCGAAATGTATAGCGCAAATACATCACATCACATTTTCAGATAATCTCCGTCTTCTTATAACGCTACCCAAATTAGAATATTCCCGAAATCATGGAACCAAACACTTTGTCCACAAGAATCATGCACCAACAATTCTCAAAGACAATCCAAGATCAGAATCACCTTCAGTCACTCAAACAAAACCACATCGTTAAACAGCCCATTATCAATATTATCAAACAATCACAAAGAGAAGCAATACAATTAGAGATTAAACCGGGACAAAGCTTCCATTACTCCTCCTTGACACGTCCATTTCAAGAAAATGAATATTAGACTCATTCTCCATTTCACGTGTGAATTTTATTGATAAATGACAACAATTAAATGCATTTAGTGTACTATTAGAAACAAGAATAGTAAAGATGCCGTTCACATACCTTTCATACAGTTGAAAATCTTCGGTCTCTGTCTTCCGCTGGCTATATTCTTGGCTAGTCATAGAACAGTCAATAAACAGAGGAACCCATGGGATATCCCATGGTAATACAGTGTTTTTGTCTCTAGATTATTTCATTGAATGCCAGTTGTAGGTTGAATGGGATTCTGAATAGTAGTTCTTTCAGATGCCTTTTATTTTATTCTTCTGTGTCCCAAATGGAACATAGAGAAGGCTTTAAACTTGAGCACTGAAGGTTCGATAGAAGTGATTTTATTTT